AAATCTTCATACTCTGATGACGGAGACAGTATGACCTCTGAAACGTTGGTAAACATCGACCAGACTACACAGCACAACAACCAAGAAGACAGAAATCTTCATACTCTGATGATGGAGGCAGTATGACCTCTGAAACGTTGGTTAACATCGACCAGACTACACAGCGCAACAACCCAGAAGACAGAAATCTTCAGACTCACCGCTGTGAGAACCTCAAGTCTTACACAAAGCTTACTCTTTGTGAAATATCCTCCAATCCTATGAACATTCATAAATTTTATGCATTAAATATTAAGTCAGAAGTTACAATACATTGAGATTATACCAAGTAATATAAGACCTGAAGCATTGATGGCAACGGAATGCAATGCAGTCTTTCCGGATGATTGGCCACGTGACGGAGTGATGATCCAATATTTTGGTGACTCTCTGCCTCCATCACTAGTGTTTATGTGATGATTGTACACATATTTGTACCAATCACTGGCTGTAATAGCTCTGAGACCCTGTCTAGAAACAGGCCAATAGGAACAGAGTCAGGGTGAGATGGTCAATGACCCTACTCTTGACACAGTCAGAACTGCGTAACCTGGATATCCAAGATACAAACTGTAAAAAATCAATCCTCCATTTGTTTTTTTTACCCTGATTTGCTATAGTATGCTGATGGCCACATTCTGGGGCTGGTTGAGTTCAAAGCCCTTGTCTCTGTTAAAATGTCATGATGCGACCGGATTTCAAAAGCTTCTTTCCTTTTTCACTGTACGTAGACTGTTCCGCCCAGTGCATTGGTGTCCTTGGAGTTGACGTAGTGGCCTTCCTTTGACGCTGTGCTTCGCCACCACTTATCTGTCTTGTTGGTACAGTTAAAACTACTGTACAAGTTTGTCTGAATGATAAGATTCTCCTGAATTTAAACTTCTCATAACCTGAGTCTTTATCACATTTAGTGGCCCAGTGCTTGAGTGCAAGTGTAGATAATATCTTGTTTGATCATCCCCAGTGGGTTCTTCTCCACAGGCCTTTTCCTCCTTAGGCCAGACCCCCTCTCGTGGCTTTCCGCAGAGCTTGGGATTGTCTACTTCTGGGCTGAATCTCCCAGGCTTCCTCTTGCTTCTGCCACCCCAGGGTCCAATGCATGGTCTTGACCACCTACGTGGCTTAAACCCCTTGGGGACGCTCCCAAACATTCCCCAAACTTGCTCCCAAACTTTCATCTCAGGAGACGCAATAAAGTACCTTGCTGAAGCAATCCTTAATACGTTCCAAATTTAAGTCTTATGCCCACAACAACAAATTAAATTAAAAGTATAATAAAATCTCTCAAGTAAAAAAAAAATGTGGGTACGATCAAATATCTACAACGTTACTAAAAAATGCACAGACCACATTAGTGCTCGTCTGAGTTATTTGGTCCATGTTGGAGCTATGGTAGATGGAAGCGTGCTGTCTGAACGTTCTGATTTTCCCCTGCAAATGTTGATTTCACCAATTATTCATTACATAAATTCATTCAAAGCTGTTTTAAACAACTTATTACTACAGTCTCTCAAAACAAAAGAAGGCTGGAAATGTGTAGAGCACACTTAAGTTCTGAATGTGTTCAATAGTTGTGATATCAAATAATTAACATGGGCTCTCATAGATGGCAGCATGAACAGTTCACACTGCAACTGCCAGATGGCAGCACGATCAGTTGCAATGGACAGAGAGGTGGCATGTGGACAATGACAGAATGAGGAATGAATAGTTTATGCTACGTAAAAGGCAAACAGGATGCCAACCTCTACACAATGTCACTAACAAAAAGCATGTTCTGCATTAAGATGTTAGAACTTAACCTCAAATTTTACGTCGTTACCTAGATTTTCATGCACCTGTTTGAGATAACTTGTCTGCTAGGTGTTAATACTCTTGGGGCTTGCAGGTAAGTGGATTGCCATGATTCTGACAAGGCAGGTGTGTATCAGGAGACAGGAATTATTCAAATCATGGAATAAAAATGTGCAGGTGATGGCAGCGAACAATAGCAAATGGAGTTGCCGAACTTAAAAAAGAAAAGTGAAGGAACAGAAAGGAAAGAAAAAGTGAATATAGCAAAGAGTTTGAAGGTAAAGCAAATGGCAAGACTGAAGGAGAATCCTAAGGAAGAATACGAGAATGTGATGACAAGCAAACCACACAAGAAGATGAAATTGTGAAAGGAGGAGAAGAAGAAATGTAGGATTAGAGGTTTTCACGGCGGTGAGTTCGAAGATGGCTGTCATCTGGGTTGGACGAAGGTATGCGGGAAGGAGTAATTGACGAAACCGTGGAAGTAGATAGTGATTATTTTTTTTATATGTTGGTAATGTATTAGTTAAACCATTCAAATCTTGATAATGTTTTTTTTTAAATGATCTCCATTAGTGTGCAGTTAAACCATTCAAATCTTAAGAATGTTTTTTTTAAATGATCTCCATTAGTGTGACTAAACATTTTTGATCAGTTGATAATTCAGGAAAGAACTACCCATAACCATCGAACTTTGATCGAAAGTTGTGACGGCTGCTCTGGGCAAGGTGCCCCTGTCTGGAATCGAACTCCGGTCTCCCAACCTGTAGGCAGTTACTATACTGACTAAGCTATTATGAATTGAAATTTTTGCCATGTAGGATACGGCACCCAGCGACACTCATCGCCAGATGAAAGCGGTCTTTGTACTGGGGAGGTTACAAGTTGATAATGGTCTCACGTATTGCCCTCCATTCACTGTCCCACCGTAACAAAGTCAACACAGATTTGCATGTAATTGCTGCTTCAAACACGCCCCTTCAATCTGCGGACTTTATTGGAAACTCTCCCATAAATTTCAGGCAAATTCTCAATGAAGTCCAGCCTGTTCCAATCCTCCAAAATGTCTTGTTCATACGACGTTAACGTCTTAGATCGGATTGTTAGATTCTGCACCCTCTGTATTGCAGGTTTCTTCCATTCATCAAATAGATTGTGAGACTTTCGTTCAGTATTTTTAAAATTCGTGGTAATCTAAACAATCTTTGACTACGTTTCGATTTTCTCCCTACATTACCATTAAACTTCCAAAGATGCAGTCTATTTTGAGATTTACAAGGCCAGCGGTTAGAACGCTGGCCTTGTAATCCTGGGGGTCTCGGGTTCGATTCCCGGCGGTGCCCGAATTTATAACTTGTGTTGGGCAAGGCCGTGGTCTAGGCAACACGGAGTTTTCCTCCGTGGCATCCCAACAATTACTCCATTCACACACAGAAGAAGGCAATGGCAAACCACTTCTGGATCATCTGCCAAGAACGTATATGAACAGGTCCCAGTCCGAGAAAAGGATGGAAGGATCCTGTCCATATGGACCTGTCGCCAGACAGAACACTAAATAAAATACTATTATTTGTACACCGTCTGGGTTCCTGACATCAAATTTCCCCATTACAGACTTGTTTATCTATCTTTACTTGCCGATAATATTTCCCTAGATACTCAACTATCAAATAGTGTTACATGTCACAGTAAAATCTGGTAAAAGTTGGCACCACGTACACTTGATTTTCGTCATATCTCGACACGTGATCAATGTCGTTGCATGTCTTTCTGCCAGGAGAAATAAAAGTGTGTGTACGAATTTTGAGTGGGAACACTGTTTTATTCATAATTTTTTTACGTTGCAAAAGTTTCCTACTCTAGACCTTGCAAATGGTCTTATAATTCAAGCACTTCCTATCAAAATTTCGTATGCATTTCATATGTCTATGATAAATATTTCCTTCCTTATCCCATTGCATTAACTGCGATTTTCATGGTCAAGAGAGAATGAGAATTTGTGAATGAGAAATACGAAAGAGGGAGAACTGTCGATATAAAGAAGAATGATAAAACGGACGTATGGGGAGAACGTGAAAAGAATATTAACGACGAAACAAGGTGAGGGACATGGCAATTGATGTACGAGTACCGAAAAGGAATCCGCTGAGCATACAAAGACAGAACAGTGGAGTGCTGCATCCGGGCGATGCATAATTTAGCATCCGTGACGTTGGTGCCAGATGCCACCTCCCCTCAGGCTCCTTATGAAGAGACACAACCCCAGAGGACGTAGATTGTGGGCCGTGAACCCATCTCGGCCCGCGAGTCTCTCCCTCGAAAAGTCCATAACGCTGTAGAATAATTATTCATAACAGCATTTCGTAATATCAGCTCTTCGCCAAATATTATACAATGAATGGTCTTCAAACCATGGAGACTGAGATGAGCGGAACGTATAGCATGCATGGGAGATGCGACATATTATTTAATTCTTTAAAAAAACACTAATAATCGCGCAGCCAGCAAATAAGTTCTGTGTCATTTAAGGAACGCAAATATTTATAGCAGTGATTACAGCAGTCCGCCACTGACAGCCCCCACTCACACACACACACACACACACATTGCTTCGAAACGCAAATTTTAACACTTCTGCGCGTACTTTTTCCAATTCTTTTCTTCAATTATGTTTCCGGACTAAAATTTTGTACGCATTTCTCATAACATCCTGTGCGTTCTGCATTCCCCTCCAATCTCATTCGCTGTCATTTGATCGCCGTATTAAATATAACTTCCTTTGCGTGGACTGTCTGTCGTCGTTTCCAGAATTCTTACTTAATGCACAGGGAATCCGCCCCTCCCTCGCAGCTGCTGGAAGGTTCCAAAACGCTCGTAAGCAACGCCATCTGGAATGAAGCACTGGATACGATCACAATCCCGTAAGACTTTGTTCTTAAATTGGATTCCGAGCGTCTGCAAAGATGTTCTGGCCTCCTCTCTCTCTCCAGTTTCACAAGATAAATATTTAATTCCCTTAACCCATCTGAAAATACCGTTTTACAACAAACACCGCGTTGTAAGAGTGGATGCCGGTGGTTGTAGGAGACTTTTCATCCTGAGTTCCGTACTTTCATCAAAATGTTTGACTTGGGGCCAAATTCCCCCCCTCCCCCCTCCCCTGTTTATTAAAGCAAGCACTTTAATCCCTCCCCCTCGCCTTTTCAGACTCTCTGTAACAGAGATGTTGAGCCTGTAGTCTGAAGTGTAAACTTCCCGGAATTTACGTTAGACTGGTTGCAATCCGCGTTTGTGGAACGGTGAAGTTCATAACCGTGTTCACAAAATCCCTGCTAGTCGTCCTAAATTTAAACCGGTTGATCCCAGCTCACAGCTTCGCACACTTTTACTTTAAAATACGATTTGCAATTCTTATCTTATAACAAACTAAATTATATAAAGAAACATGTTTAAAACAAACCCATTTGTAGTCAATAATAAATAATAATAATAATAATAATTAACAGATATTGGACGAGAATATGTAAACGAGGTCCTGGTGATTTAACAAGGGCCACCGAAAGACTGGACCTAACACTAATGACGTCCTCAGGACATTCAGTGGTTATCAACATTTTCCAAAACATAATCTCTTTATATCACAATTAACACATACATATTATTAAAAATCTTCGTCACTGTGATGACATACAGTAGTGGAACGACTTAAGAGGTTTTTACAATAAACTTAGTACCTCGTCATGAGATTCCATTGCAATGATGGATTTCACCATCAGAAGATGGAGCCCTCAGTCTTCAGACGAGTTTGATATCAAATGCTTAATCTGACCACTCAGAGATGGCAGCACGAATGCTTTTTGTAGTCACTGATTGATTGCGTCATGGGTAATAGCGCCCTGGCGGATGATTGTCATACCACTTCACGACTTTGAAATTTCATAACTTTGGAAATTAAATGGAATACATTTATGAAAGTTGCGGGCATGCAAATACGCCATTCCTCAAAGAATTAATAAGATAGTGTAGTTGCGTCATATTGTGATTTATTAAATTAAAATTAAATTATTTGGTTATTCCGTCAAATCACAATGTATTTAAAATAAGACAATTAAAATATCATTCTTTGTTCCATATCGAATAATCGATTTACAATTGGAACTGTTCCAATTGTAAATCGTGTCACAAACCAGGCGTCTCGCCCTCCCTCCCCTTTCTCAACTTCGCTGGATCACGCGTGTCGTATTACGACAACATGGGACGAAATTTAACACACAATTCAGAAGGAAATAATGTGCGTAAGTAAACAACAAGCTATGGGCACGCAACTTACATTTTTTTTTGGTAATATTTCCAGTTCGTAATCTTAACTCGGTCTCCTGTGTACATAAATATTCCTGATTCTTTTAGACGTCAGATTTGTCACACGTGTCTGATTTTGTCTGCCATAATATCTCCTTCTTGGTCTTTGAATTCTCCGCAAACATTTTTGTCTATTTGACAATAAATGTTTCAGAAATTAAGTACATATAAAGATCCCCTAATTAATTTCACAATTTCGGGAACAAGTATTTGGGATCCTGTATTGAACACCTCCAGCATCCACTGAAGAAGAAGTTAAACATTGCTTTTAAGTGGTGCAGCATTGCGTTTCTGCGAATTCTTTTTTAAGTATGTAAAAGGTAATCTGGGAAAAACACGCACACACACAGACAGAACACATGCCATTACCTATGTTTTCTTGCATTTTGTATTTTGGTGCCCCGGGAGTGGGTACCAGTGAAAGAATCATGTGTAGACATTTGAAACAAGCCGGAAGAAGTCGCGACTGGTTTCCGCGCTAGGCTTTCTTGCGTAATCCGATAGATAGAACAATGACGACTTTTAGTATATGTGAACTCTAAATCACGACATTCCCCTAATCTACATCTACAAGGGATGACTGGTCGAATCAGAACTCGCCACGTTTTAGCTTGCCGGAAGTACCCGCCACCATCTCAGCGCGCTACAAAAGCAAGGAACCACTTACCGGAGCTGGGATTCACATCCAAAACGAAGCCAACAGCAGAGTGACCTCAGGAGATAGACAGATGACTGCTTTCCTTCTTCAGTGTAGGATCTGCCATCTTGAAGCTGAAAACGAGCCAGACGTAATCAATAGATGAACAAAAACTTCCGTCATTTTATCGTAAGACAATAATCATCACACTTATCAGCATAAACGTCAACTGTTCCTTTGAATACAGTTCGATGTACCCGGTGTTCCTGGTTCAGTCAACCGATGACTGCAGAAGCATCTGCTTATACAGGGTGTTTCATAATTAACTTCTACTCATAAATAGCCGTGGGGGAGGGACGTAAGGTTTACTGCTTGGGTAATTAATCAGACTTGACGGAATTGCAAGTATAACTCGGACCCCCCCCCCCCCCCCCCCCCCCTCCCATATAGTGCCACAATAAAGAATGAATAGGAACTATACCTTCTCACCCTGCAAGCACATCCATATCGTGTAGTATGAAAGCTTTACTTTTAAACAACACAACTTCAGTGAAATTGAGTTTGAATGCTAGTAGTTTTAGGAAAATAATCAGAAATATACCTTTGTGCCTCTCTGTCATCCTTAGGATAAATAATATTCAGACGATCTTCGGCTTCAAAGGGTTAACCAGCGGAAACTTAGTAACAAGTTTCCGAAGACGTCTTCCTGATTCTAGTGTGATCTGTCCTCGAGTGGATTAGAATGTGCTCCTTCAAGTGGTACATCGTCTGATGAAACGTGGCGAGGAACAAGCAGACAGAGGCGGGGAGGAAAACTGTGGTAATAGTGGAGAGCTGTTTGTGCCTACCATCAGCTCGCCGCCTCCAGGGGCCGAGTTATGCTTGTTGTCCAAACGCGTAGCAGACGTCAGTCGTAACTCTTATAAAGTTTGCAAGGGACGAGCGACCCAAGGGTATTCGAGCCGGAAACATTCAATAACCTATACAACATTTTAACGTGTACAGAAGCCACAACTGCTAACGCCACCTTCTCGTGCATTCTTCGACAAAGGACAGAGTCGCAAATCCATGGAGCATAGTTTTCTTTTATAAAATACTCTGCACTAAGATAATAAGACTTCTGTTTGAAGACTCTCCAATAAAATTGTGTGTGTATTATTCCTCACCTCTCTATCGTGCGCGTGCTAAACAACCGGCCAATCTAACAATTTATATTTGTTTCTTCCTAATGATACGTACTGCAGAGTATAAGTCCCTAAGATATGATTCAGATCTTAACAAATTTTAATGATTTTAATATGAAACTAAATAATTTAAAATAGGCCACGACGATAAGCGACAGAGCTAGAACGAAAGATTATTACAATTTTATAAAACGTTGACTGTACGGATCAGACAGGACTTCTGTATTTTACAGGAGAATGGACTTTGTTCAGAGACAGGCTTTCGTAAAATAAATAAACACCTGTAACATAGTACACAAAATACCTAAACATCAAATGAATTGGTCTGACCACATGAGAGGAAGATACAGGACTTACAAACGATGAAAAGATCAATTCCGATTTTAAAATTGTACCTGGAAAATTCTGGTAGGGATATTCATTTTAGTTTATGAAGATCATGTTTATGTTTTGAAGCTGTGTAGTGTGGTAGAAGTTGACCGACGTTTCAGAGTTTCTCATTGCCTTAATTCTCATCATCGCCCTGCGAGACAACACGGCACCGTCCCAGAAGACAAGACGTATTCAACGCAACTTATTAAATTCTGCTCTCTACCGCTGACATCTAACCACGTGAATTTAAAGCGTTTATATGAGACCAGATGCTAAGGGTTGCAATATTCCGTGACTACCAGCGAGTCGTTAACAAGGGGTTTATTTGTATGCGTCTGTCTGTGGCCAGCAAAGTATCTCTGGAGTTATAAGCCGTGCACGATTGCGGTCTTGCACATTTCTGAATGAGACCTGATGGAGGCTTCAGGTGCTATGTCGGCCCTGTTAAACCATAACAGGCAATCTGCCTGCATTGCGGGTAATGCAATATTGGAAACCTCCATCCCGCCACAAAATTGAGCGAACCAAACCCAATTCACGAGACAGGAACTGTACTCAAAATGGCACACTGAAAACGTGCAGACAGTGTGTTTGTTACAGCAGTTACGCAGTCACAGAAATATATCTCTTACGGATTTAGAGTTTTAAAGGATTATATTGAAACAAATCTCAGAACTATAGGACGTAAGTTTGTAGATCGGATTCATCTGGCTGAGGACAGGCTACAATGGGAGGTCCTTATGGAAAAAAGTAATGATTATTCCAGTTCATAAAAGGCGGGAAAGTGATTGACAACCATTTTGGATGAGGAATGCACTCGGTGGTAAATTTGGTTTTTATAAAGTTAATCTTTGACTGTGGTATTTCACCATAAGACAGAGGAATCACACAACGAGCTGGGAAGATATTAAGATATTAAGAGATAATAGGGGTGAACAAAATAAACAAAAGAATGATTTTGGGGGGGGGGGGACAAAATCGAGAGAAAACATGAACATAAAAAGTATTTGACGAGAAAGTTGGGTGGGAGAGCGAGACTGAATTCTGCAAATAAGAAACTGTATCATGGTGCTGCGGGTAGCCTATATGAAGCGCTGCAGGCGCTGTTTGTGATGTGTGCTGCCTACCTTTCAGGGACAACACGAAGCGAGCAAACTTAGTTTCGCTGGTGGGGGGTAGCAATCTACTGGCAAATAATTAAATTATTGCAGTGTTTGCAAGAATCGACAGGCTGTTCGCCAACTGGAAGCATGATCCCTGTCCTGCAATGGGCTTTCGAATAAATTTATTTACGTTTCACGTGCAGTGCTTGAGGGGCGATGGTGCCCGTCTGGGCGAAGAAATTTTTCATTTCCGAAATGGATTCGAGGACTCCGGCCGCACTTGATACTTGAGTTTCATGAATTTTTGAAGTGAAAACGCTTCCCACGCTAACCACACAGGCAGTGGGTAAAGGCGGACGTATACCTCAGCACCATTTCATTCAGCGATTTGGTGCATTGCAGTAAAAGAAAACACGAATTTTTAATCTCTCCACGCTTTGGCCGTGATTACCTCATGGAAGGAGCCCGCTGTACGCAGTTGCCGTTTCGTCTGCCTCCTTCATCAGGGCGAAGTTTAACGAAGGCAACATTAAGCAGCTCCGGAAGGTAAGGTAATGTAATATAACGCAAATTCCAATACTAAAGAAAAAGTCATTTCGTCGCACGAATGTTGGTAATCCTGACGTCGTCATCGAAGCAACAGAAAGATACAGAAATTGATTCACAGATCTGAAAACCGAATTTAAGATAAATCTACCACAGAAATAGTGCACAGCTGATCTTAATCTTAGTCTGTTACTGTCGACGTTATGTTTGTTGTTTAATTTTTTCAAATGAAACTATTCGTACTTCCTGTCTGGACACTACACTAGTTTCGAATGAAGCACATTTCCATCTCAATGCTAACTTAGGTCAACAGACCAACCGAGATTAATTCCGTGGAGCAATGCCCCATGAGAAGTAGACAGCGGTGCGGGGGGCCTATAATAGTCAACAGTAGGGGGTGACCCGGGCGTAGAGGACAGAATACAGAATTAGCAAAGAAAGCTTCCTTCTTCCTCGTGGGATTTTCTAACATAACAGAAGCAAATCCAAGGAACAGAACTAAACGAAGGCAGAAATATAAGTAAATTGTACAAATTTCTACAGTCTAATTTTTTTGTGGTTTGTTTGGGTGTCAAGGAAATTGATTAATATCTTAAACACGAAGAGGGAATTAAAGATGTTACTAATTTAATTATTCATATTACAGGGCACAGCGAAACACGCCCATTTAAAAACACAAATCAAATTAAGAATATGTAAGCCATCTTAAATTTAAAAAAATAAATAAGTTGTGCAGTGAAGGGAGTATTTCGATGAAACTAAGTTATTTACCGAGCTTAGAGACTAAGCACTTTTCAGTTTCTGGCTGGGGACCTCAGTGCCTCATCGTCCAGACCAACTACAGCAGAATTCTTTCTACCTCCAGAAAGCAACTTTAAAAGTTCAGATCGAAGGAAGTTGGGAAGGGAAGAGCTCAAATATAATTATCGCTCTCATTTCCCATTGGCGTCCCGACGGCCGCCACCTGAACACATCCTGTCTGCACCACGCCACCAACCAGACGTCAGTCGGAGAGAGAGAGAGAGAGAGTCCTAGCGATTTAACCCTTTGAAGCCGAAGATCGTCTGAATATTATTTATGAATTCAGTCCGTACCGCGAAGAAAACACTACACCTCACCATTACGAAAATCAGCTGGTTAACCCTTTGAAGGCGAAGCTCGTCTTCATAATAGTTATAAATTAAGTCCGTACCGCGAAGAAAACACTACACCTCACCATTACGAAAATCAGCTGGTTAACCCTTTGAAGGCGAAGCTCGTCTTCATAATAGTTATAAATTAAGTCCGTACCGCGAAGAAAACACTACACCTCACCATTACGAAAATCAGCTGGTTAACCCTTTGAAGGCGAAGCTCGTCTTCATAATAGTTATAAATTAAGTCCGTACCGCGAAGAAAACACTACACCTCACCATTACGAAAATCAGCTGGTTAACCCTTTGAAGGCGAAGCTCGTCTTCATAATAGTTATAAATTAAGTCCGTACCGCGAAGAAAACACTACACCTCACCATTACGAAAATCAGCTGGTTAACCCTTTGAAGGCGAAGCTCGTCTTCATAATAGTTATAAATTAAGTCCGTACCGCGAAGAAAACACTACACCTCACCATTACGAAAATCAGCTGGTTAACCCTTTGAAGGCGAAGCTCGTCTTCATAATAGTTATAAATTAAGTCCGTACCGCGAAGAAAACACTACACCTCACCATTACGAAAATCAGCTGGTTAACCCTTTGAAGGCGAAGCTCGTCTTCATAATAGTTATAAATTAAGTCCGTACCGCGAAGAAAACACTACACCTCACCATTACGAAAATCAGCTGGTTAACCCTTTGAAGGCGAAGCTCGTCTTCATAATAGTTATAAATTAAGTCCGTACCGCGAAGAAAACACTACACCTCACCATTACGAAAATCAGCTGGTTAACCCT